TAACACTAGTCACTGTTCGTTCAGATAGTTTGTGTTCACTTGGGGCCTCTTCTTCGGAGATTGCACAAATCGTCGGCTCTGCAACACAAGGGAAGGAGGCAGGGATCAGCCGCGGTTCAAAAGCATACGACGTGCGCTTTTCACTTTCCGCTTCAATTTACACTACTCACGATCCGGCTATCACGAACACCCGATTCTAGCTGGATGCGAGCGACAACACGACGTGGACCCATCTACGAAACGACCACCACCACTTGCTTGACTACGTGATTGTGCGCCAGCGCGGCATTCGTGAAGTGTGTATCACGCGGGTGATGCGCGGCGCTGAATCTAGCACCGATCATAGACTGGTCAGGACTAAATTATTTATCCATGCACACAAGTCTGTTTATTGTAGATCTTCCGGACAACGGCAGAAGTTAGATATCAAACGACTGAAGAACTGCGAGACGAAGACTGCCTTTCAATGTGCAGTTGCCGCTCATCTGCACGACTTTCCTATATCCACTACCCATGAAGGTATGTGGCAGTTTATCAAGGAACGAATCATGACGACAGCCACCGAGACGATTGGTGTCACAAGCCAGAAACGTCCGGACTGGTTCGACAACAACAACGCGGTTATCGCCGAACTGGTTCGAGAGAAGAATGCCGCGTTTGCTGCTTCCACAGTGGACCCGGACAATGAAACGAGGAAGGCCACGTTCCAAAGTATAAGCCGTCAACTTGCCGAGCGTGTTCACGGAATCGAGTACAACTGGTGGATGAAGCAGGGTGAGCGGATGCAGGGATTCGCAGATCGTCGACAGCATAAGGAATTCTACGATTTGCTCAAAGCGATATTCGGCCCATCTCTCCAGTCTACTAAAGCACTGGTAAACGTGGACACTTGCTGTTCGTGCACCAAGCCAGAGGACCACATGAAAGTCTGGTGCAAACACTTTGGTAGCCCACTAAATCGTCCTGCTACCAGTGATTGGGTGGCCGTGAACAGCTTGCCGCAGCAGGCCATCAAGCCCTTACTTGCTCTAGCTCCTGACTTGCTAGAGTTGCAGAGAGCGATTGGTCAACTTCGCAACGGGAAGGCTGCAGGCGTTCGATTCCGTGAGCCGCAAGGCGCAGTGGTTGGTGCTTGGTAAGTTTGGATGTCCAGATAAGTTGGTCAATTTGATCAGATTGTTGCATGTGGGCATGAGGGCGAAGGTGCAATCGTGT